CCAGAAAGAGCGCACGTAAATAAGCTGAAATTTTCAAAACGGTAAAATAAGTCAGAGGTTTATCTCCATTTGAAAAATCATAACTTGTTCGATTTTTATCGTATCGGGGTGATTTTTTTGTCACTATATCATGAGTTTTGTTGCTGACATTTTTGCTCAGGGTTTGCATTGAGATTTTGCACCAAAATTCATGAGCTTGTGGTTTGTTTGCGCATCGTATACAAAATAAGTTATACAAATATGCACTGTGAATTTTTAAACTGAGTTTCTCGCTGTTTAGGGAAACCTAACTTGCTCAATTTTTATTGTATCGAGACGAATATATCAACGCCCCATCACAAATTTTGTCATCGACATCTTTATTTGAAGTCCTGTGTCAAGATTTCGCATCGATTATTATGAGCTTGTGGTTTGATCTCACATTGTGCACAAAATAATTTGAAAATTCAAGTTTGGAGCCAAGACTATAAATTTCAAATTTCTAAGTTCAAACACAACAACTCTCATAATTTCACATCTCAAGAATAAAACTCACCTTTTCTCTGATTTCTCTCTAAATTCTCTCATGTTTCCTTAAGAACTCAAGAACAAAACTCATAAAATATTCATTAATCTCCAACTTCCGTGAGCTTCTCTCTCCTTCCCTTGAACCAGTGCATGCCACACTTGCTCCCGGCACCAGCCATAAGTGCCATCCGCCAGCCAGCCACTGGCGATCGCCAACCTCAAGTCACCCGATTACCATACTCCCTCTGGCGTCTGCCACTCTCTTCGCGGTCAACTTCCTTTTGTCTGCGACTTATTCTAGCGAAACAAATCCCTCTGTTTCCGGTTTGCTTCGCCGTCTCTGATTCAAGTTCTTTGGCATCTATTTAGTAATCTATGGATCCTTCCTACTTGAATTAGTTATTGCATAATTCCTTGAGTTAATTAAGTTTGAATTGATTGTACATTAATATTGAATTGTGGAATTAAATTAAGTGATGAAATCTTGAAGTAGTTTAAGTTGTGGTTATGTTAAAGTCTTGAATGTAGAACTTTCTTATTATTGTTGATGATGTTGAAATCCAAAATTTGTTGAATATTTATTGAGTTCATGTGAATCGTGAAGTTTAAATTGATAATTGTTGATAATGTTTTATGTCGGAATGTAACTCAAAGATTTATTGATTTGAAAGATTGATGATAATCTCACGTGTTGTTAATGATTCCGATTTGATTTTTATGGTTAATAATTGTTGATTGTTATTTCGACGTCGAAACGCAAACCCAATTATTAATTATTGATGTGCTTGGATAATTTTGTTTTGGCTTGGAATTGACATTTTATGGTTGTAAATTTCTTCTTGAATATTTTTTGATACTTGCTTGAGCTTATTTGTACGTTTGTTGTTAATTTGTGTTGAGAATTATCGATTTCGGTATAATTTTCCGAGCAACTTTATGATACGGTGTAATGTTGTCCTGATTTTGAAAACGCACTTAGAATGTGATTTAATTACGGTTTAATGCACAAGCGAAGTTGTTTAGATGATTGAATGATATTTGTGTCTAGTTTCGTTGGTTTTGAATCGGCATTTGGGCAGTTCATGGTATTAATGTGTTGTTGTCTGGGATTTGTAAATGGTAGTATACTTCGGTCTTAATTCTTGAACATTGCATAATTGAGTTTAATCAGACATTGGTTTAGCATTAGCAACAGGTTTATTCGGTTTTGATCCGACTTTTTATGCATTTCATGTAATGACATAATGCTGTCTGGTTTTCTGTTTAACGTGTACATTGTGATTTGATATTCATATGATGCACGTTTGTGCTTAATTGTTCAATTGTTGACCTTTTTTGTTGAGTTTTCCCGCTTTTAACACGATTATTTGAGTAATTATATGAAGTAATACCATTATGTCCGGTATTGTAATTTGAGCTTTAAGTGTGATTTAATTGTTGGATTGTGATCAAGTGCAGTTGTCTTGGCATTCGTTTGAGCTTAGCATTTAGTTGTGCGATTTTAAATCGATATTTTGTGTGGTTCATGAAATGATGACGTTGTTGGCCGATTTTTTATTTTCACTTTCTGATGCTTGTTTACTTCTGAGTTGTGCTTTGATACTTTATCTTAGCTTATGTTATTTTGTTAATTGCTAACTCATTTTGTGACTTGTGCAAACTTTTGGAGGCCTTTGTTGTGTGACATGCGACATTTGGATTTTTGCTTGGTTGTGTATTGTTTTGTGCAGGGACTTTGATTTGATGTGTCTGCGATTTGCTTGCGATTTATTTTCGCATTGCAACATTTGGTTCTTATATTAGATGTTGTTTTTGACTATCTCATTGTTGCTTGGTGAAGCTTGCACGAAGTTTTATATATCGTATGTGTCGACACCTACATAAGTTTTAAACTGTATGTGTCGACCTATATAAGGCTATGTGTCTACCAAAACCAGTCAGAGGCTACAGGCTTTAAAATGATAGTAAATGTGTCGACCTGAAAAAATGGATGTGTCGACACATAAAATAAAAATTTTTGCAATTTCAGAATCGCTTCAGTATGTGTCGACCTATACAATGAATGTGTCGGCCTGAGTCTTCTAGAGGCTACAGGCTTTAAAAATGAGTTTCATGTGTCGACCTGAAAGGTGGATGTTTCGACACATGTAGTAAAAAATTATGCAAAAAACTATTTTTAATGACTTGGATTAATTTCAAAATTCTTTTTAATGATTCCTAAGATCTCTAATTTAAAGGAGTTCCACAAGACATAAAGATGCCATCCGAAGTACAAAAGTAATAGCTTTTCAGTTTTGACATCATTCAAAACCTTTGATGATGAAGTTATACTCACAGCTTCTGCCCTTCAGGGGTTTCTCAAATGAGAGTGGCACTAATGGCATCGAACTCTACGTCCATATTGAGGTAGACAATCTCTCTCTTATTTGGCCACAACAGGACCAGCGGTTGAGATAACACTCGTTTGAGGTGGAGGAGGGCACACTTGCACTCCTTGGTCCACTCAAAAGCGGCCTCTTCGTGTAGAAGCTTGAAAAGTGCAACACGTGTTAGGCATATTTTAACACAAAACAAGATAACAAGGTGAGCATCCCGTTTAAGGTCTGGATTAAGTTTTTTGATTTGGGCGTCGGGAGTTTAGAGAATGCTCAACATTTGTCGGGGTTGATATTGATTCCCTACTCTATGAGGTAGAAGCTGAGGAGTTTTCTTCCTCTTACTCCGATGGTGCACTTGTCAGGATTGAATCACCTTTTGACTCTTCTTGCCTGATCAAAGACCTTCCCGAGGTGGAGTGCGTGATTGGTTTCTTTGTGGGATTTTACTATCATGTCGTCCATGTAAACTTCGAGCATGTTGTTGCACCCCAAAATTCTCCCTCTTCATTTTAACTCTAATTGGCTTATACTTTATCATCATATGCATACATACATGTCATATGATCTATAATCATGGAATCAATGTATTTTTCTGCGAGAAAGAGTTGCGAAAATTGACTGTTCTGTTAAGTAGTACTATGAAGCCAGAACTATGGGTTTCCCATTTTAATGCACTTTGCACGTGTTCCAAGCTATTCAATCAACAACGAACTGATTCATCATCATATCAAGCTCTTATGAATTCCAACACACTCTGAATCATGCAAAATTCAAGCGTTTTAGTTAATTTGAGGCGGTGTAGACATAAATGTGGTATTGTTCGTTTCAAGCTCAGAAGTTCTTAACTTGCGGTCGGAAAATGGTTTGGGAAATATTCTTCAGTCATTAGAACTGTCTTAAGGTCTTCTTAATTTTATTTGTTCATGTGGAAGGCTAATTTTGTGAGGAAGATTTTGTATAACACCAAATACCTGAATTATGTTATATAGTAGATTTACCGTTTTACTGGTTTTCGGACGTTAGAAATTTGTAACTTATGACTGGAAGATAATCTTTGAGTGGTTCTTGAAGCATTTTAACTGTATTGTTATTTTCTTCAATCTTCGTGTTCGGCTAGGAAGCTAATTCATTGAGGAAGATCTCCGAATACGCGAGTACTTTGAAGATATAAAGTGAAAAACAACGATAATTGTGTGCTGAACCGTTATTTTTTAGATGTTCAAAAATTCATAACTTTCACTCAGTTCCATGTTTTTGGATGGTTCTTTGGACGGAAAATCAGCCTTGATTTTATCTTCGGTTCGTATGTTCAGGTCACGATCTAATTCTTTGCATAAGATCTCCGAAAGTGTGAATTACTAGAGAAAATTACACGCCGAAATGGATTTTAACTAGACTGTTTTGTCGATATTATAAAAAAGGTAACTCTCTTAATTTTTATCGTATCGGGAAGATTCTTGAAGCGTGAGACCACAAATTTTTTAAGCTTCAAATTTGATTCAGGTCCTGAGTTCAGATTGTGCTCTGAAGGTTCCGGTTTGTGGCTCGCATTCGAAAGAGCGCACATAAATAAGATGAAAATTTTAAAATGGTAAAACAAGTCCATTGTTTCTCGCCATTTGAAAAATCATAACTTGTTCGATTTTTATCATATCGAGGTAATTGTTTTGGCACGACATCATGAATTTAGTCACTGACATTTTTGCTTCAGGGTTTGCATCGAGATTTTACACCAAAAGTCACGAGCTTGTGGTTTGTTCGTGCGCCGTATACAAAACAAGCTGTACAAATATGCACTTTGAATTTTTAAACTGAGTTTCTTACTATTTAGGGCAACCTAACTTGCTCAATTTTTATCATATCGAGACGAATACATCAGTGCCCCATCACAAATTTCGCATCGACATCTTTGTTTCAAGTCCTATGTCAAGATTTCGCATCGATTATTATGAGCTTGTGGTTTGATCTCACACTGTGCATAAAATAAGTCAAAAATTCAAGTTTGGAGCCAAGACTATAAATTTCAAATTTCTAAGTTCAAACACAACAACTCTCATAATTTCACATCTCAAGAATAAAACTCACCTTTTCTCTGATTTCTCTCTCAATTCTCTCATGTTTCCTCAAGGACTTAAGAATAAAACTCACAAAATCTTATATTCCTCTCCAACTTCCGTGAGCTTCTATCTCCTTCCCTTGAACCAGTGCCCGCCACACTTGCTCCCGGTGCTAGCCATGAGTGCCATCCACCACCCAGCCACTGGCGATTGTCAACCTCAAGTCAGCTGGTTACCATACTCCCTCCGGCGTCCGCCACTCTCTTCACGGTCAACTTTCTTTTGTCCGCGACTGATTCCAACGAAACAACTCCCTCCATTTCCGATTTGCTTCGCCGTCTCCAATTCATGTTCTTTGGCATCTATTCGGTAATCTCTTGATCCTTCCTACTTGAATTAGTTGTTGCATAATTCCTTGAGTTAATTGAGTTTGAATTGATTGTACATTAAGATTTAATTGTGGAATTAAATTAAGTGATGGAGTCTTGAAGTAATTTGAGTTGTGGTTATGTTAAAATCTTGAATGTAAAACTTTCTTATTGTTGTTGATGATGTTTAAATCCGAAATCTGTTGAATAATTATTGAGTTCATGTGAATTATGAAGTTTCAATTCATAATTGTTGATAATGTTTTGCATCGGAATGTAACTCAAAGATTTCTTGATTTGAAATATTTATGTTAATCTCACATGTTGTTAATGATTCCGATTTGATTTTTATGGTTAATAATTGTTGATTATTATTTCGACGTCGAAACGCAAACCCGATTATTAATTGTTGTGTGCTTGGATAATTTTGTTTTGGCTTGGAATTGACATTTTATTGTTGTAAATTGCTTCTTGAATATTTTTTGATGCTTGCTTGAGCTTTTTTGTACATTGGTTGTTAATTTATGTTGAGAATTATCGGTTTCGGTACAATTTTCTGAGCAACTTTGTGATACGGTGTAATGCTTTCCTGATTTTGAAAACGCACTTAGAATGTGATTTAATTACAGTTTAATGCACAAGTGAAGTTGCTTTGATGATTGGATGACATTTGTGTCGAGTTTCATTGGTTTTGAATCGAGATTTGGGCAGTTCATGTTATTAATGTGTTGCTTTCTGGGATTTGTAAATGGTAGTATACTTCGGTCTTAATTATTGAACATTGCATAATTGAGTTTAATCAGACATTGGTTTAGCATTAGCATCAAGTTTATTCGGTTTTGATCCGACTTTTTGTGCATTTCATGTAATGACATAATGCTGTCTGGTTTTCCGTTTAACATGTACATTGTGATTTGATATTCATATGATGCATGTTTGTGCTTAATTCTTCAATTGTTGACATTTGTTGTTGAGTTTGCTCGCTTTTAACACGATTATTTGAGTAATTACATGAAGCGATACCATGTTGCCCGAGTTTTTTAATTTAATTTGAGCTTCAAGTGTGATTTAATTGTTGATTTGTGATCAAGTGCACTTTTCTTGGCATTCGTTTGAGCTTAGCATTGAGTTTGTGCGATTTTAAATCGGTAATTTGTGTGTTCATGAAATGATGACGTTACTGCCCGGTTTTTTATTTTCACTTTCCGATGCATGTTTACTTCTGAGTTGTGCTTTGATACTTTATCTTAGCTTATGTTATTTTGTTAATTGCTAACTCGTTTTGTGACTTGTGCAAACTTTTGGAGGCCTTTGTCGTGCGACATACAACATTAGGATTTTTGCTTGGGTGTGTATATTTGTTTTGTGCAAGGACGTTGATTGGATGCGTTTGTGATTTACTTGCGATTTATTTTCGCATTGCAACATTTGGTTCTTATATTGGATGTTGTTTCTAACTATTTAGTTGTTTCTTTCTGAAGCTTGCTCGAATTTTTATATATCGTATGTGTCGACACCTACATAAGTTTTAAACTGTATGTGTCGACCTGTATAAGGCTATGTTTCGACCAAAACCAGTTAGAGGCTATAGGATTTAAAATGATAGTAAATTTGTCGACCTGAAAAGATAGATGTGTCGACACATAAAATAAAAAATTTTGCAATTTCAGAATTTCTTCAGTATGTGTCGACCTATACAATGCATGTGTCGGCCTGAGTCTTCTAGAGGCTACAAGCTTTAAAAAAGAGTTTCATGTGTCGACCTGAAACGTGGATGTGTCGACACATGCAATAAAAAATTATACAAAAAACTATTTTTTAATGACTTGGATGAATTTCAAAATGCTTTTTAATGATTCCTAAGATCTCTAATGCAAAGGAATTCCACAAGACATAAAGATACCATCCAATGTGTAGAAGTGCTAGCTATTCAGTTTTGACATCATTCAAAACCTTTGATGATGAATGTGATACGGTGGCATAACTGACTCTTATACTGGTTTTGCATTTGTGTTTGCAAATTTTGCGGTAAGCAAGAGCCGTCACCGACTTTTCTTTTATCGAACAAAGGAAAGGGTGAAAAGAACAGAAAAACACCTTTTTGAGAATTTTCTGAGTAAGCGGGGTAGATTATGGAAAGGGAAGGTGTTAGCACCCTTTCCATCCGTAGTTATCTACAGGCTCTTAGATGCTTTAGCTCATTTTAAAAATACCTTGTGCTTTTTGTGTGTTTTTGAAAATTATTTTTAAAATGTCTTAGTGCGGAGGTTTGCTTTATGATAACTCTTGTATCAGTCCTCAAGAGTGTTGATAAAGCATCTAACAGTTATCTACTTTTACTCTGAAGGTTTGTTATTTTCTCCCTTTCCCTTAGACAGTGCTATCCTACTATTAGTGAGTAGGTAGCCCTATCGGTGGATGTATGAGGGACGTTTGTGAGTCATTGTACAGTCACAAAGGCAACATATGGAGGCGCTTTAGCAATTTTGTTTAAGGGACTAGATCATTTACCGAAAGGCAACACCGTAGGGTCATCAAGGGACTATGACCTTTTGATTCGAGGGCCTTTGCTAAAGCGTCCCTACTTTCGAGGGACATGACTGTTTTATTTTCTGAAGGCAACCAAAGTGGGAGCACCCTAGAGGTGTATATGTGCAAATGTGTTGTATTCAGTTATTTTTGTCTTTTGTGTTAAGTTTGCTAGTGTTTGATTATTAGTCTTATCATGCAATCCTATTAACATACATCTAACAGTTAATATGTACATGGATAAAGTGCGGGCATTGTAAATTCTACGCTATTACAATGCTTCAGGGAGGGGCATTATTACAAGTCCAAAACTTGGGGAAAAAGCAATAAAGAAAAATCTTAAATTAAGCTATTACAGACTGTGAGCAGTTACAATAATTTGGAAAAATAAAATATAGAAAATAATAACGCGCGCGAGTCGAAAGGAACGTTTAAAACCCTAAAAAAGTTCTAAGTAAAATAAGAAAATCTATTTGTTGTTTTTGTTTATTTAAGAAAATGTTTAAATAAGAATTAGATTGATTAATCTAAATCTTGATTTAATAAAAAATAGAAATAATTAAATAAAATTAAAACTAATTAAAAGGAATTAATTCTATTTTTTTGTATTTTTTATCATGAAAATAAAACAAATTAAAATGGATTAAATCCTAGGTCTAATTAATTTTAATTAAGAAAAGAAGTTAAAATAATTTAATAATTAATTTAATAAAAAAACCTAAAACTATATTTTTTATGACTTTTTCTGATTTTTATATTATTATAGAAAAAATGATTAAATGAAATAAACAATAAAACAAATAAATAGAAAATGCAAATGGGCCTGACACAATCAGCAATGGGGGGGGGGGGTGAGAATTGGAATCTGTTAGGGCCCATTATCAAGAAGAAGCCCAAGCCACGCTGGATATGGTGAGGGTGTATCTGGAGGGTCCATGGTGAGCCTGCATATATGGAGCGCTTAGATCTGATCAGATGAGATCTAGTGGCTATGATCATATGGTGTACGATGCATGCTCGTGACTGCGACGTATTGAATCTGTAGAAGAATAGTTAAATAAAAATGAAATGGGGCTTGGGTATCGAACCCAGGTCCTCTCCCTGTTTGCACGCTTTCTTTACCAAGTGGGCTAGCTTCCAATTCGTTTATTATAATGAAATGATACTATTATATGTAAGAAAATGAAACAGATATATAAGATTCAAAGATCAAACGTGTATATTGCACGAGCCAATGAGAGAATGACAATTGGGGCGTCGGAGTCAGCCCACCAGAGTCAACTCTCTGGTGGGCTTCAACAGTAAACCTGCAAAAATAGCCAAAAAACAAAAGTTAAAAGCTACCCTATCCCACCAATTCGGGTCCCCTGAGTTTGAATCTGCAATCTGTTTGGTCTGAATTATCTTGGATTTTGAGATTCGTAGCAGAATACAGATTGTATCCTAGCAATGGAACAATCTTATTCCTGTCTGTAATCCTGCATGTATTACGCTAGATCTGCACTAATGGTGTCCCTAAACATGAACCAAACATTTAGAGTTTAATAAAATGGCATGCATATTCAGTTTCAACGTTTAAAGCCCTAACCAACCGGTGATGTTTGGGGGCAGCGATTCAAGGTGTTGCACGCCTTGTGAATGGTCTGGACACCTTCCTGAGAACCTCAGGGGTGGAGTGTTGAGGTTTGTTTGGCACGAGGAAGCTTGCGCTGGTGTTTCAAATTTGACAGCCCTTGTGAAGATTTTGCAATTTTTGTGTGCTTTTCTGAGGTAGTATGTTTGTGTGTATGGGCCTCCCTTTGGCTTGCAAATGATGTTGTATTTATAGAGGAGCATACTGGCTTGACAAATATGGCAAGGATCAGCGATTAAACATGGTTTTGAAAACAAGATCAAAGAATTGAAAAACATGCCATTTTGGGTGATTCTCTCGACATTCTCATTTTTGCATGAACCTGAACCTTTCTAATGTATCTTGCACGAAAATTAGGTCTTGAAACAAATCGAAACATCAGCCCATATTGAATAGTTGGACAGTAATGTTAAAACTGTAAAGACTGTGTAAAAAGACAGGAAAAATGCATTTTGAATTGTTATGTGTCGACACAATGCTGCTATGCATCGACACATAACTCTTGTTGCTCCTGTAAAAACAAAATCAACTCAGTATGAGTTGATGCATAATGTCATGTTTCAGATCATACACTTTCCCCCCCCTCTTTTTTGGATCCTGGATAACAGTATATATCGACACATAAGGCTTTGTGTCGACTCATACCCTTTTCGTGTCGACACATACACGTTTGTGTCGACTCATGCACTTTTTATCCTTATATTTTGGGGCTGGATAACAGTATGAGTCAATGCATAAGACCATGTGTCTACTCATGCCCTGTTTTGTCACTAGGATGAGTCGACTCATGTGGGTATGTGTCGACTCATGTTGTAGTTTTTTGCCTTAAACATTTGTTTTTGAATTTGAACCTCTTTCAAGATGTTGTGGTAGCCTCCCTCTATATTGGAAGTTGTAATGTATCTTCCAAATGATGCATTTCTTGAACTTGAGGATAAAATAGGAGTTGTAGGGAACTGAATTCTCTTCAAAATGAACTTTGGTTGGGTAAAAATGGATGAAGTATATGAAAGTTATGTCTGGTCAAAGTTCAGTTGACTTTTGACCTAACACAACTGATTTTAGAACACTTGAGCAGTTGACTTAGAAAATTTGTAGTGTAAGGCATGAAATTTGGCATGGACATTATTTAAGACATATTAAGGACCATGGAAATCGTTTGGAGCTCTTGCAACCCAAACATCTTGGTGGACAGTGAAACCCTAGCTGGAGGTTCATTGCTTAGGAAGAGAATTTGTCTGATCAATTCTTTGGTCAACCTTGAGCAATTGAGGACCTCAATGAGCATGTCTTGAGTAATAAAAATGGGAGGGAAAATTTTGGGGTACAACATCTGCCCCTGTTTAATCTTCTTAAACCTGAAGATTTAGATTGGCTTGTTTTCCTTTTGTGATCTGAAGGTAGAAGATGACTGAACACTAGAGTGCCCAGAAATTTGCATTCGCATGATATGATGGTTGACTGTGTAGGGAATGGGCTTGAAGATGCCATTCGGAGAAGATGACTGAGAGTTGTTGGAGATTAGCTTAAAGAGTCCATCCAAAGTATATGTTGACTTCATAAGAGGTCTCTTTGTGGGGGATTCTTGTTCCTGTTGTTTGAGGAGGAGTCCCCTGGGGGATGTTAAATTATGTTGTTCTCCTGCTTGAGGAAAACTTTGTGGGAAATAGAGTCTAAGAACTTCAGTTGTACAAGGATCTACTGAAGAATTATCTCTAGAAAAGTTTTTTGTTTTCTGGTTGAATTCCAAGCTTCACAGTAACTTAATGGGGAGGATGAAATTAACTATTGTCTGGAAATGTATTAGAAGGATCCTGTGTAGGGTTGCTTCAGGATGAGTCCGTGTTAGACTACATCTGGAAATTATGAGAGGAAACCCATGTAAGATTACTTCATCTAGTCATGTAGATAGTTTTCCTGTCTGGTTTCAGGCGTTAATCTATAATCAGTCATTCATAGATAGTTGTCCTGTCCTGTTTCAGGTATTAATCTGGAACTTGTTTTTGTCGGTTGTTGAGATAGTTGTCCTTCTGGTTTCAGGTATTAATCTACAATCAGTCATCCACAGATAGTTTTCCTGGCTTGTTACAAGTATTAATCTGGAACTTATTTTTTTCGGTCGTCGAGATAGTTGTCTTGTCTGGTTTCAAGTATTAATCTCTGACCTGAGAGA